GAGAGAGAGAGAGAGAGAGAGAGAGAGAGAGAGAGAGAGAGAGAGAGAGAGAGAATGGAGGGGACTGTGCCAAGCTGTCCATTATGTGACTCTGACACGTGCTACGTTTCTTTTTTGCCTTTTGCCTTCCTGGAAATTTTCCAAGATGCACGCCGGCATTATGGCTCTCATGGCAATGCTACTCCCGACAAGTCCCGCACCCGAAGAGCAACTGCCAAGCAGATTGAATGCTGATTGTTTCATTCATACAATGCAAAACCTGCTTAACATCAGCAGCACTCCTATAGTTGGAGGCACCTTCTTCCAACACCTTCCCCGGGCCAATCATCACTGACATCATCGGAGCCCACCAAACTGAGACTCACCCACACGCGCATGCACTTGCACACATAGCGGCAAAAATCAACAAGCAAGCATGGGGCATACATGCAAGATCGCTTGATCACAAACATATCCAGTGAACACTGCAAACAAAGTCTGATTCTGAATCTTTACCAAAAACATCAACGGGACGACGGACTGGATTTTCTCAGAACAGTCCAGAGTTCTTGCACAGCACAAAACAAAAACGATGCTGTAAAGGTAACAGCTCCCCAAACAGAACACACAAAGATAAAAAAAAGAATGTTCGGTGGTATTCCCTGCTATTTTCTTGCACGCGGGTTTTCATCTGCTCTCAGGCTCTTCTTTTTCTTATTGTGAAAGAAGCGGCGTATGACAGGGCAGTTCCTTATGCGTTTTCTTTCTTTTGTGCTTTTTTCTTTTTCTGTTTTTGCGGGCGAAGCCGCAACGGGTCATCTAGTGTCGCATAATTGTTGCTAAAAGCCTAAAACCCTAAACCCTGGCTTGGTTACTTCTGTGCCTTTGACTTAACTTCGGGGTTCGTAACTGTAATGTACCTTGATGAGGTTGGAGGATATAGTCAGAGATCTAGATGTCTCTTGAGGAGGGCTGTTTGGCTTAAGTTGAGGGTGAACTTGGCGGGGGGGGTGTTGTGTGTTGGGGGATGGCTGGTTTGAGGAATGTGAGTTTATCGTGGTGTACTGAGTATTCTAAGGAGGGAGTGGGGAGGGAGGGGTGGAGGGGGTGCAGCGGGTAGATTGTCGTGGGCTGGGTTGATGTGGGGGCAGACGGTTGAGGGTGTGGGGTGCGTGATGGGGGGAGAGGGGAGGGGGTGCAACGGGTAGATTGTCGTGGGCTGGGTTGATGTGGGGGCAGACGGTTGAGGGTGTGGGGTGCGTGATGGGGGGAGAGGGGAGGGCTGGTGGGGGGCGTGGGGTCCTAGATGGTTCGGTGGTGGGTAAATGGTGAGAGGGTGGATTGGGGCTGATTGTAGCGGGGTGTGGGGGTTGTGTGGGAGATTTATATATGTGTGATGATTAGCCAATTCTTGAGTATTAGTCTTTCGTTGTTAATTGTGCCAAGTAGCCCATTGCCCAGTTTGGAGAAGGAGAATTTTTGGATTATTAGGTTTTCTTCGTCTGGGTCAGTAGGAAGATTCTTGAGTTGCTTTTTCCATCGGGCGTGAATTTCAGTGTCTATTAGTTGTTGGATAATGACGAGTGGGTTTTCGGGGGTGGTGAGTCGGTCATCGAAGGTTTTGCCGCATCTGTTTTTCCATATGGCCCATAGGGTGCTTTTCTTGATTTGGGATGCGCGGAAGGCTTTGAATCCTTTGAGTGAGGGTGGTTGGTTGAGATCGAGGAATAGTGTGGCAGGGTTAATTAGTAGGCGAGAGTCTGAGATTTTAAACCACGATGATTCTAGAGCTTGCCAGAGGGATCTTGCCTTTGGGCAATCCATGAAACAGTGATTTAGGGATTCAGGGATATTGAGGTGTATACCTTACACCAGGAATCCTGATCTGAACTATTTCCTTGATTGCGGTATAATTACTATAATATATAGGAGCGCTATAACTACATAGTACATCCTTAATAGAGCCGAAACTTCAATATTTCTTATTATTTCTTCTCAGGAAGTCGAAGAAAGAAAGGGAAAAAAAAAAAAAAAAAGTTTCAGAACTTCAGAATGAATGTGGAAGGAATCTGTCCTTCACGACAGCTGTTAGAACTGGAACGGTACAGAAAGGGGTAATGAGCAAAAATGGCCCCTGCACAAGGATGGCGCTTCAGGTTGGATTGAAAAATGGACCAAATTGGCAAATTATGAAATTAATAAATTATATATATATATATATATTTGACGATATATATATATATATAAAAAAAAAAAAAAAAAGAATCCTTGCTTAGCTGTTTATCAATTGCTCACCAACTTAGGATGGGAAATTCTTGTTCAAAAACAAAAGTGCAGCAATGAGCCACGCATTCCCCATCCCTACCCAAGAAGAAGCTTGACAAGGAGAAGGAGGAGAAGGAGGAGGAGGAGGAGGAGGAGGAGGAGGAGGAGGAGGAG